ATATTATGGAGAAAACTGATCCTAGACCAGCATTTATAGACAGCTTTTCCATTTAAAAGGAAGCTTGATGGAAGCTTGTTTTAGTCACAGAATTAAAAAAAAAAAAATTAAAAGATAATTGTGACTTTTTATTTCACAATTCTGACTTAGAGTTCTCACAATTGTGAGTTTATCTCAAAATTCTGACTTTATAAAGTGCTAATGCGACTGTATATCACGCAACTCTGACTTTATAACTTGCAATTTTGAATTTATTCTGAGAAAAATTACCTTTTTTATGTGGAAACAGTAAGATTTTTAGCAGGCAAATTAATGCCTGCTAAAGATATGGAATGGGAACATGGTTTGTGTAACATTAGCAATACATTATTAGCTGTTTAATAACAGTCAAGCAAAAGGCTAATCATATTAGTTGCCGTTATGTGTTTGATGATGTAAAGACCGACACCATTGTGCAGCTTTTACCTCAGTAAGTTGGCCAAGTGAATCTCTGAGCCGGTTTGAGTGCGTGGAGGTGGTGCTAATTTTCATATTCATAGATCTGCGTGTACTAGTCTAAATGTTGCAAGGGTGTAGAGTTACATTCAAGCTATTTTAAGGCATTAATCTTTTTTTTTTACAGGAAAAAAAAATCATTTTCGTGATCAAAGATGAGTTTTAAGGGATACAGTTATTGACTATATAGGCCGGGGGACTTCAACAAATGGGAAAGTCCACTTTGATATTTAAATGAGGTCACTGAAGTCATTATGGCACTCATCTTGACCTGTTCAATTGTCTTTTTGCCTTTTTTATAATGTATTTTGATTTCCGGCTGTGTCGTGGTTCATCAGTAAAGAATCTGACTTGGTGATCAATATAAGTGTTACTTTCTGCTCTGTTGAATTATTTCCACAGTTATGTCTTTGCGTTTTTCTGTCCGTTTGGGGTCATCAATCAGGATGATAAACCGCTAGAGAGAAGCCAATCTGAAGTTGCTGATGCATTGGTCTCGACCCAAGGGAGAATTATTCAGTGATTTATACTCCAAAGCTGCTGGCTAATATCTCACAGCCTTTTAATTAATGGGAGGTTTGAGAGATTGAGGAATAACAGAGTGATGTTTCTAGTATTTCTCCTGTGTAACAGTGTCATAGTGTACCAGTGCTCTTTTCCATTGAAATAATGCTGATTCCCGTGCTAGTATCTATACTCTGGGAAATTAGTATTGGTACAGATATTTCAGTATCAATATTTATCGAAATATCTATATTTTTGGCAACACTACTAGAGATGCACCAATACTAACTGGAACGGTTTGTCAACATTATCAACAATATTTTTGTTGTCGAATAGTCTTTTGATGTCATATGACCTATTTGAAGGGCCTGCACAAAACTAATGCGGCCATCCTGGATCCTGGAAAATTCAGCTTTGCCACCAGGAATAAATTACATTTTAAAATATATTAATATTTAAAACGGTTATATTTTAAATTGTAGAAATATTTCACAAAATTATTGTTTTTACTGTATTTTTGATCAAATAAATGGAGCCTTAGTAAGCATAATGTAATAATGCTAATGCAAAAGGGGTATAAAGACTGGTGTTTTCATTCCAATCTCTATCATACAGACAGTATTTGAGCTACTGAAAGCTGTATTGTATGAACTCGAACTTACTAGTAAATTTGGTTTTCAATCCCCCAAGCACTTTCAAAAACCTTGGTTTAAGAACAAATGCATCTGAATCTGAGGATTAATTATCAAAAGTTTTTACGACAGAGGCAAAGAGAGGCAGAGAGGAAGGTATACAGTGGTGGAAAGTGAGAGACGAAGATCTAGAGGAAGGAATAGTGAGTGAGAAAAGGCAGAAGCCCTGTGTGCTCATGAGGGCAATGAACTTGTTAATTAGCATTCTCCTGTACATTTTTATAAGTACCATTTAAAACTGCTCTGTAAAGCAGGGTTGCCACTATCAGTTCTCAACCAGAGAAAACTCATCTGAACTTTAAAGTGGTCGGGAAGGTAGAGCAGCCTGAAGCACTAATATGTTTCTGGATGAGACAGCTGCGTAATGGTCCAAATAAAGCGCCTCTCGGATATGGAATGATAAATGGAGTAGAGCAGAACGCTTTAGCCTTGTGATTGGGCCATCAAGCTGTATTGGTGTGAGAGACCAGTTTAAGAGTGATAAGAGTAAAAGTACTGTTCTCTACATTAGGGATGGGTGGGATGATCGTAAATAGCTAAAATACACTGCTGATCCAAAGTAGGGGTGTGCGCATCAACTTATTTGACAGTTGTTTAAACAAAAGTTTTGAAACCCGATTAGTCTAAAAGAACCCCTCTAATAGGGCTGGGCAGTATATCGAGTTTGTACAATGTATCGATATTTTATTGTTGTTGTTAAAACTAAATGGAATGAGGCAATACTGTTTATATCGATAGTTTTTTGATAAGAGCACATCTGAAAAATAGCAGAGGACGCAGTTGAGCTGCAGCAGTCAAAGTACAATGTACAATTTGTCCTAAACATGACACAAGCTTATATTGAGGGCTTCAGAATAACTGGTAAGATATAGTTAACAAGTTAAAATGCTGTCAGATGCTCTGACAGATACTGTTGCTGAATGACAGATAAATACTTGTGCTGTATTTGAGATGTGGTGCTTTCCTCAGTGCTTAACTTACAATTCACAGTTCTCCATCTGTAAATGTTAGAAGGTCAAATATGTCCGTTTTACTGTCACTTTTCTGTTTTATTTCTAATTCAAATACACCTTGTTTGTCTTTTGAGCGGTCATTTCTGTGCTCTCTGTGACTGACATGAAAAAAACGCATTGGATCTGAGGTATAATTTTTCTGAGTATTATATTTTAATGTGTTATTTAAAATGCTTTTAAATATAAATGTAACAAAGTTCAAGGTGCAGGGGAGAATGTGGAACCGGTGAACTGTAAACAGACGTTTTCAAATAAATAAAACAAAAGTAAACTGCATGTGCTTCATAGCCGACTGCCGCCCATACATAGACAAAACTCAACTTTAATGTCCCAGGCCTGAACTTCTCTCGTCTTCCACTGTCGTCACTCCTTCTCTTACCTTTCAGAGCTCCTGGGACTCCAGATTGGTGCAGTGCGCAGTGATGTTCATTAAAACTTGTGCCACCGGTGTCAATCCTTTTCCACGGCACGTGCCTGGTAGTAATTCGAACGATAAAATATTGTGTAATTTTTCCCTGTGTATTCACCTATTGTTTTTAGTGTCTACTAATAGCATCTATACCGTTTAGTTGATGTGTACTAATCGTGCACATCCCTAATTCAAAGCCTGGTCTGGAACCCATGGATATCACCAAAGACTTTGTTTCCTCCTTTATAATGCTTTGCCTGGCTTTTACTCTAGCTGTCTTTAGTTTTTTGTTTGTAGGTCTTTCTTCCTTTAGTTTTGCCTTCAGCAAGTGAAATGCATACTCGATTGGGTTGAGATCAGGTGACTCAGCCATCCAGAGTATTTCACAGATTTTCCTCCAAAAACTACTAGGTTGTATTTGCAGTATGTTTTGGGTCATTGTCCATGTGGACATTGGATCTGTGAAGCGCCGTCCTTGTATCAATTTGGCTGCATTTGGCCGTATCTGGGCAGAAAGTATATCCCTATACACTAAGGAGTCATCCAGCTGCTTCTTTCTTCTGTCACAACATCAAAAAACACCAGTGGCCCACTGCGATTGGAAGCCATGCATACCCATAGAATCACACTGCCTCCAACATACTTTATGATGATGTTGTATGCTTTTGGATCATGAGCTGTTCCAAGCCTTCTCCATATTTTTTTTTCTACCTGTCATTCTGGCACAGGTTGATCTTAGTTTCAGATCTTAGTTTCATAGTCCAAATAATTATTTTCCAGAACTGGTCTGGCTTTTATAGATTTTTTCTTCTATTCTTGAGGCATATCAATGGTTTGCACCTTGTGCTGAACCCTCTGTATTTGCTCTTGTGAAGTCTTTTCATGATTGTAGACTTTGACAATAATACACCAACCTCCTGGTGAGTGTTATTCAACTGGGTGTTGTCAAGGTGTTTTTTTTGTTTTTTAACCATCGATCCTGCAATCATATCATCTACCACAAACTGTTGGTTTGGCCACTCCTAATGTTTCTTCTATATCTCTGATGGATTTTATTTTGGTTTTGAAGCTTAATGATGACTTGCTTGGCTTGCATAGAGAGCTCTTGACAGCATGATGTAGGTTCACAGCAACAGCTTCCCAATGCAAATTTTAAATGGGGCTGGGCATTGACACACATTTCACAATTCAATTTGATTTTAATTCACAAGCTTGCAATTTGATAAGTAAAACAAAATTTTAATTTGATATCAATTAGGAATTGAACGATTACCAGTCACAATTTCCTGACGGTTAGTCATTCCAAATTTAATTATCTTGAAAACCGTGTTCGATTATCACAATTTTGAAAACTCCCGGTAAATCCTGTCCAGACAGCATCAGACTGACAATTGGTCCCCCCCCATCATTTCAGCTCCAATGACGAAATCAAAACAATGAAAGCATGGCGAAGCGGCTCTCCGCGGCTCTACTTTTGTCCCCCAGTCTGCATTTTCACCAGACATACATTCTTCTCCCACACAAAAACAGAGATCAAACCAAATATGTAAAATTTCACGAAATTCTGTGTTCACTGTAGATTCTGCGTTAATTTTCCAATTACGCAATTCTGTCCATGATTCCATGATCGCGGAAATTATAGTGCCCTAGGGATGTGCTCTGGTGCCCTATTGAAGCTTTCATATTAGGCCTATAATACTTTTGCCCTCTGAAAATGTATAAAATATTGAAACAAATCTTTAATTCATCAGCTGAAAACAGCAGAGACTGAAAACTTTCTTGGGATTTAAGAATCGATATCTGTTCTTCAAAATAAGAATTGATTATAATTGAGAAATCTTTTTTTTTTAATCTAGCTCTATTTTCAACACTTTGTCTCTCTTCCAGTGGCTCCCTCCACTGTATCCCCTATAATACCCTGGAGGAGAGAGATGGAGATCTTAGTACTGGGGACAGTAAGCTGTGCATCTGTGGTCTTTCTCCTCCTGACTGTCATCATTTGCTACAAGGCCATCAAGAGGTAAGACTCAATAGTTTTAGATATTTTATGACAAATGTGTCAATTTCATTGATTTTTCTTGTCATTGTTTTCAGAAACATGTAAAAAAAAAAATCGAAATTAGTAAAATGTTAGAATTGGGTTAATATATAAAACATTGACTTTCAATGTATGAACGAGACTCTCTTCAAAATCAATGTTCCCAATATTATACTTTATTTGCAGAGAAATGTCTATGGTTTGCATAAAATGTCTTTATCTTCCTTTCTCTTTGGTGTCTGCTAAATTACAGCACTGGAGTAGAGAGCACTATTAGTTGTTCTTCATGCACACTGTAACTGAAATTTAAAACTGTTAAAAGAAAAGGCTTAATAAACCAATTCGCTTTGTGCTTAAACTTCACGCAGTGACTTTGACGTTGCTTCAAGTGCATCATTTTGCTCAGAGGATGCGCATAATCCATTTGCCGCTCTTAACTGGAGGCATTCATATTATAATACTTAGTGGAGGTTTAAAAACCTGGGGCAAGGGGGCGTGGACCATCAGAATATCACTGACACCACAACTGGAAAAAATCCTAGCGGAAACAAAGCTCACTGCAAACTTAACTTTCCCGCAGCCACCTTAGGGAGCTTTGATTTAAAAAAAGGTACTCCTGTTGTTATGTTTACATTTTATTTTTATTTGAACAGCTGAGCATTTAATTATGAACCAGGTGAAGAAACCAGTTTATTATTTATTCATTTGATTTTGCACCTGTTCACTGAAATAGTCGGTTTCAATAAAACTAGGCCACTTGTGATGTCATATTTGGCTTTGACTTTGACTGAACATTTGCTCTCAGTTTGCGGAAAAATATCGGGAAATTGTATTGTATTTCGATATTTAGCCTAAATATATTGGGATTTGGTCCATATCGCCCAGCCCTAACTGACGCCAATCATGGGAAAGGCCCAAAACGTTGACAGGATGCTATGACAAAGATTTCGCTTTCCTCTTTGGAAACGGCTCATTTTTTTTCACAAATATATGACTTGACCTGAAGAAGGACAGATGCAGGTAATCGCACATGCTCAGTCGAGCTTTCTCTCTCATTCGCTGACCGTTTAGGCTTGTTTAGTGCAAATCTATGGAGCCTCTGTAGAAATCACAATTATACACTTCATGAACACATGAACATCATAGTTGCTTGCACTCCTCTGCGGTCGGTTTGTCAGTATGATGGTATTACTAGATTGCGGTTATCGCAACAACCCTAATGTGTTTTGCACTGATGGCACAGTAGGCGTCAGGCATTACGTGGTGTGTCAGACTTAAGCTGCTCTTTTGGTCTGGTACCAGTGACATGCTGTCAGGGGAAACCTGAGAGGGCTGCAAATCAGCTGCAGACAGGGAAATGGCCTCAGACAGTCCAAATCACTCACACAGCAAAAAGGAAAGAGGTTTCCAGACTCTCTTATGATATATATTTCACTATATTGCATTAAAATCCAAGGTTTACGATACATCATCTTGCTCGGAGTGATAGTGTAAATGCTTGGAAATAAAGCTTCATATCTTTAGATCTATATTCAATTCTTTATTTTTCTGAATAAGTTGTGTATATTATTTCTTATCTTGTTGTTGACCAACATCCACTTCAGACAGATTTTGGAACAGTTAAAGAGCCACAGGTCAGCTCAAATTCTATGGCTTTTTATTAGCATGACAGTTTGAATTAATTGTATATATTGTTGATCTAATTATAATTCAACTAATGTTTAGGTCATCTTTACTGCTTTGAAATAAATGCTGTTAATGAAAACACTGTTGAATAATTTGCATTACGAATTAAGTATGTGCATGCCTTACAAAGCATAAATCTGCAGATTTCAGAAGAATCATTTTAAAATTTGTTAACAAATGTTGAGGTATCTCATCCGTCAGCCGTGAGTCAGTCAGTCATCAGTTTTTCTAATACACTTAAAGGACCACAGGTAGTAATGCACAGCAACAAAAAATACAAATAACTAACAACTTCCATATAGGCTATCTATAAATTTGCTTTTTTTCTGGGATCCTTAGATTTTGTGGGCATTTAGAGAGGAAGAAAGATATTAAATGAGAGAGAGGGGATAGATAAAAGAGAAAGGGGGGATAGAGATTATTGGATTATTTTTTGGATTATTTTTTTTTTTTGCAAGAACCCTTGCAAAATTATTTTAAACAGATAAAGAAAGCCACCACTACTTGTCACATCTATATTGTTAGATTGATTTGTTTAGATCCAGTAAAGTCTGTCCCACCATGTACCTAATATAAATAAATAAAACTTTTCCAGAAAAATAAATAAATATAATAAATCTATCGCCATTGCAGACTCTATTAATTACGGTGAAATCACAAAATAAAACACAAATGTGTCGCTGCTTCATATAGACTGAAACCACTGATGAACATATTCAGTTTTGATGAGAGAAAAATATATATACGAGTGCGGATTAGAACCTGAAACCTGACATGCTTGGCAAAAGATCTCCCACTAGACCATTGAATAACTCAAACGTAAATTGCGGATCGATGGATTTATTTACAGATTAAGCAGAGAGGCTGCACAGTTTGACAAGTGGCCACGGCATGCAACACATTGCAAATTGCTAATGAATTGTAGAATTTCCAGATCAGTGAAGCCATTTTTATCAGAGCTTAAAAAAAATTGTCTCGCGAGTTTTGTGTCATCTGATCGGCTTTTCTGGATCGGCCTTTATAGAGACCACCGATCACACATCCCAAAGCAATAATCGGCCAATTGTGATCGGCGACCGATCAATCGGAGCACCCTTAATGTACAAGGAGACTTCAGATATAAAAACGCTGACTACGCAAAGAAATGTTTTCATTCAATTCAGATGGTTTCCTATTAATTAATAGGATAGAATGTGAGGGAATACTAGGGAATACCAATATGGTATTGGCTTCGCTGTGCCTTGACTTTTTATGACATAATGAGCAATCCAGCCATTTATATAGATCAGTGATTTTGACCCTTAACCACAATACTCTATTTTGTGGGTCAACTTAGGAGGCAACCAACAGATTTCTGTAAAACATCACTCATAAGAGTCTCATGCATGTGATAAACAGGTTATTCCCATGACCAAAAGGGAGAGAAATTACTGCATTAATTATTGACCATTTGGCATCCAGGGCCAGAACTGATTGCTTCACCCAGGAAAAAAACCCAAAACAAAACAAAAAAGAATCCTATCACTGGATAACATTTGGCCTGGTTCATGTCATCCTGAAGCTATTCTCATTAAATTGATACTATTCAGATTTTCAAGTGAAACTAAGTGGAGGTGGAATCCAAGCTGTTAATGTTAAAACATTCCAGTCTTCTGAAAATTAATCTTTTATTTATGAAAGCTGTGGAACATCCCCTCCTGGCTATTAAATGGGGACTTGTTATGAGCTCTCTGTTTTGGAATCCTTTCACTTGGTGAATTTGTTTGTTACACATTGCCTCTTTTTTGCCTGAGAACTTGGTATAAGGAAGCCAAATCCCAAAGGAATACCCAGCTGGCAGCTCTTTCTCCGCTAATGAGCTTGCCCAGTCTGCCAAAATGAAGAGAGAGAGAGACATGTTTAATGCCTTCCTTTATATGCATGCGAACACATCATTTAGCTATGCCCAATGACCGATGCACCGCAAATGGTGCTTCTTTAAACACTCGGTAAAATGTCCCAGTGAAGGCTCGGATTATTACCCCAATCTTTGCTTTATGGCTTCTGCATGCTGAAGAGCGGTACGACTCACTTATTGTAATGAGTTTAATGGAATTAGAGGCACTGGAGGGGAAAGCTAAAGCAGTTTTGTTGAACAGTTGCTCCGTGCATATAGTGAAGAATAAATCTTAGAGGAGAGAAATGGGGTGCTTTGTGAATTTTTGACCGCTGTAAAGAAAAAAAAAAGCATCCCGGTCATTGAACGTTAGTGCAATTATGATAACAAAGACTCTAAACAAATGGACATTCAGAACCCTCAGTCTGGATAGGATGTGCAAACACAACTTCAGTCTGTCTATTTTCTCCTCTTAGCTCTGCTGAACATGCAGCACTGCTAAATGCTGTCATGCATAGTTACAGTCAATACATCCTAAAATAACTTTTTGGGTGAACTTAAGTCACATTTGAAATGCTAATTAGACTCAGGCTTGGATTTAAAGTGCTCTAAGAGACATTGGGGCTAAGAAGGCTAAAATTGCCTTTGAAATATTAAAGTTCATAACAATAGTGCTGTGATAATTTGTAAAATGTATTTGCAAAATACTATCAGCCTACCATGGATGACTTTTCTTATTAATATTTAATATTTGAGTGTGTTAGTTGAGAATAATAAAACGTTTTTAGGCATTTCAAAATAGTGTTTTTGATGTAGGTATAGGCAAATAACAATATTTAACAATGTATACATACATATATTTTTCATTTGGTTGGTTCAACCGCCCGCCACCTGCCCGAATTTAATTAAAATATTTTTTTTTCCGTCACGTAATCCACCAATCTGCGGTTGTAACCGCCAACCGCATCTCTATTGCCGACCCCTGCCCTAGACATTTCAAAAGATGTCAAATTTGTCAACATTCGTAGCATTTATGGACGGACAGTTGTCTAGATAGTGATTGTAAACAAAAAGTAAACGAAATTACGTCGGGTTTATGCACAGGAATCAGTCGTGCCAACAGATTAATTGGCATATTCTGATAAATTACTGATTAATATGATTAATAACATCTTGAAACAAATGTTACACAAGTCCACTCTATTCAGATATGATGAGTACATTACCATGTACTGCATAAGAGATCATTTACATTATCCATTGAACCTACAGTCATGTGGGAACAATCTCAGCCCGCTCTGTTTATTTTCAGAGGAAATTATTACATTCTGATGCATATTCCAAAGAGCAAGGTTATAAAATATGTACCTCTACATTTAATGTTTTGTGTAGCTCTCCGCCATGTGTGTACTACACATCA